ATATCACAAGAGTATGGGTAACTGCAAATCCTTGTGGGATCAACTACTTCTTAAACAAATTACAGGTCTAAATATCCGTCTTAACTCAACTGGGCCTGAGGAAAATCTAACTAGACTAAGGATCAAAGAAGGCTTCTCTCTTGTTAGTGCTTCAGAAAACAATTGGCATGAAAAAATTCTAGAAGCATACTCTAGGTTCTAGAAAAATAATCTAGCATGTATAACGATGTTGAGAGCGAAAGGCTTAAACCTCACATTCAAATTTAGCTTACCTAACCTGCCAGAGTACAACCAGAAATGGAGGCTTTGCAGCATTTTGAGCTCACTATTCACTCTAGCAGTAGCCCATTGTTTGAAAAACCTTGAACTAGTTTTTATTGACCAATTGATGAACCAAAACGGAGACCAAATAATAACATGGCAACAACTTAAATTCCTTAAAAAAAGAACGAGCAAGGGAGAGTAGCAAAGTGGTTTAGAAAAATCGAAGAACTAATACTAGAAAATGCGCAGAGCAGACAAGTTAAAGCCTATTATCAAGTTGAAGGAAATAACATTTGGGCAGAGAAAGTACATCTACCCAAAATATCTCATAACAACAGGACCAAAGACTGGATAGCTATCACTCCGACGATAAATGATGAGAGCCCTGAAGTAATAATTTCCAAAATACTTTCAAGAACCTTCAAAAAAATCATAGTAGAGCATTAGACATTATCAGACACTTATAGCACAGGTAATTTTACCCTAGAGAAATGCGTGGGCTGTATTCATAATCAGAACAGGGCATATGAAGGTTGTGAAAAGCTCTATTATGAGAAAGAGATTCTAGGATCACTCTTAGCCTTTATCAGAAAAAGAGGCAACAGGTGGAGACTAGAAATTCTAGTAGACGCAATTGAGTTTGGCTATAAAGGAAAAACAAAAGTTTCAAGAAAAGAATCCCAAGTAGCAAATGTTCTAAGCCATAGCTTGGATGTAGAGATGATTCAGAAGCAAGACATATCTACAAAACTCAAAGACCTCTTAGTAAAGTGGAATCACAATAGCCAAACACTAATGCAAGATAAGTTAGTCTACTATACGGATAGCTCATTATACAAAGCCAAAAGTAAAGAGGAAGGCCCAGACCATATGAGAATAGGTATACTGCAAACAAATCTAAACGAACAAGAAGTAATCGAGAAAGGTTATGCCAGAACACAAAACTGGCCATCATCAACCAAACCAGAATTGTTAGCAATTTGGTTAGCAGTACTGGCAACGCCAAGCAGAAAAGAAATCAAAGTCTTTACAGATAATGCAGTAGCAATCGAAAGTATAGAAAAAAGAAAGAAAACTGTAACAAACAAGCAATGATTAAAGTTGAAGAATCACGATCTTGTGCGAAGTATCATAGAATTAGCTAAAGTCAAAGAAATTCAATTAGAATTAGAAAAAATTAAAGGTCACAGTAATAATAGATGGAATGACAAAGCAGATAGTTTAGCAAAAAAAGGTGCCTCAACAGATAATAGTGATAATATTATTTTTAACCCCTCTTAGATCTAATGTTATACTACACTGAGAAGAGATACCAATCGAGCACCTAGCAAGAGATATAATCAAAATACTACTCGATCTTAAGACAGGTGCAGACTGGAAAGAATCAAAAGTAATCCAGAAGATCGAACCAAAAGAAAACCAGACAAGCAACAACTGGACCTACTTGTGGAAAAAAACTAGAAGAATAATGGTATTAGATGTATATCCTTAAAGCAAAGTAAATGACTTGGAGTGCTATTCAAGTGTGCAAATGAAATGCTTCCAGTACTAGAAACATTATCAAAAAGATGCACAGATTTATATCAAGACTCAGAATGTATTATCTGCAACAAAAACAAAGAAGAAAGTCAAGACCACTTAACTTGCTGCAAAGAACAAGAAGCAAATTGGAGAAATGCAAAAAGCCTCACAGCAAATATAGCTTGGACAGCGCTACCAAAAGAAACCAAAAAAAGGACCAACAAAGAATCCTTGAAACGAACACTTTGGGGTGAATCAAGAGAAAAAACCTTCAAAGCAAGATCCAGAGCAATCAAAGGTTTAGTCCAAGAGGAAATAG